TTTAGTATACATAATGTGCTACAAATCTATGCTGAGAGGATATATTCTTGATACAAGTTGTGTTATTGAATATGAGTATTTAGAAATTCAAAATGATATAGGCACTAACATATCGAAAAAAAATTTCTTACTTGAATGCTTGATTGGAAAGAACAAGTTTGATATGGAATTGTTACCTTTGTAAAAGTTTAATGAAACAATCATATGGCAAGGGAAGTAATTTTAGAAATGGAAGAATAAGATGTGGATGTAAATAAGTTTCGAGGATTAACTTTTTATAAGAGGGAAAGAATGTAATACTCAAACCTAAATGATAATTGGGCTAGTATAATACCAAAACCCGTTAATTTATTAAGAGATTAATTAGTAAAAAAAGAAGTGGCTGAGGTGTTTTACTAAAGAAAACCTAGCTATCGGAGAACAAAAAAAAATGAGAGTTCTTCTTTCTTATATTTCTCAAGGGTTAAAGAGCATGAAAAATCAAGTTAAGGATTCGAAATCAAAGGCTATAATTAGAGTAATTGCCTAAAGGTAAGTATATGCCATCTTTTTATTTAAGAAAAATACCATATTGGTTGCTATGATTTAAAGTTGAAGTTACAAGAGAAAAATCAAGAAAAATTAAAAAATCTCTCATTAATATTCATGATTGATTTGGGTAAATTATTAGGCTTTGTTTATTTCATGTTGTTAAGATTTAATGATGATTATTAAATGGATTTTAAATGCTGAAAGTGAAGATTTGAGTTTTTAAAGATTGAAAGAGAAATTTTGTTTTTAGATGAGATGTTATTATCTACAATAGTGAATTAAAATGGAATTCTGTATTAATGGATAGGTTATTACTATAACTATTATATATCATTGGAAAGCTTGTTGAATCTAATTTCTAACAAAATAAACAGAAGTTGATTCTAAATTTTCTATGTAGAGTTGTATTGTTTTTACTTAAGGATATGCAAGCTACATGGTAGTAGCATCAATGATGAATTTCAAAAATTGTCCTAAATTATATACAAAGAATTACATATTGAGCTATACATTTTGAAAGGATTATTGAGTCTACTTTTCAACGAAACAAGTGGAAATTGAATTTGGAGTCTTCTATGAATAAATATGTAATTTTAATTAGAAGGTATACATGTTGTCTAGCAGCAATATATGATGTGGATTGCAAAAATTATGACAATTAATTTACAAGGAATTAAGAGGTAGGCCATATATAGTTAGAAAGCTTATCAAGTCTAATTTCTAACACACTATAAAGATCTTAATTTTGAATTGTATAACTTGAGATATGGTCACTTTAGTGGAAGTAGTGTAGGTTGCCAGAATTAGTTAGTTGAGTTAATTCTTGAATAATTTAGTTATTTTAGTATAAATTGTCTTAAAAAGAGTTGATTAATTTTTATTATATTGAAATAATCTTGAATAGGCTATTAATTATTTTAAGAAAAAACTAAGTGGTAGAATCGAAAGAAGGTAAGCAGAATCTCACATACTTTGCTTGTTTTTGAACCTATATATATGTATATTTCTAAATGAGTAAATGTTTTATTTCTTTATTTTTGATATATGAAAATAGGATCAAGCATATGATTATTTTGTATTTTTGCTATGTAAATGATGGATCATGCTTATGAATGAAATGATAAAATGATTTATGTTTAATGAACGATTTTATGATAACTACATTTTTATATCCTTAGAAAGTGGGATCATCGACACTAGAACTAATTCTATTACCTTGACTAATAGGTTATAGTGTTTAGCATAATTATGATCATACGGGCTTGCTAAAGGGTTATAGTAATTAGTGTAAAGTTTTGGCTAGCGGGTTATAATAGTTAACAATGATCATGATGATGAAATTGTCAATAAGACCAATATCATGTGTTATAGCAGTGATCGTAACTAATGATAAACTAAAGATAAACAAATGATAATGATTATTTATGATGATGATGATTTATGATGTTTTTTAAAGATTGATCCATGATTTGGTTTGATTACGATATTTGAATGGTGGCATATTTTACAATGATTTATAAATTGACATGTTTTAATATTAATTTATGATCTATGAAATATTTGACATAATGATGATTTTTAAAATGTTTTGACATTATGATTTGATGAATGTTTTGAATGATCTATATGATATATATGAAAATGATGTCTGATCTGATAAAGTGTGTGAACCTATATTTGTTGAGTTGTGGTTTGCTCATTCCCTTTGTTCTTTCCTTTTATAGATGATATAAATGATAAGTTTGCTTAATCTTGAAAAAAGTAGAGGATTAAATTGAAAAGATTACTTGGGCATAGTAGACATTGTTAGCTAGTGAGATCTTACAAAATGGTTTTGTATTTTTATTAGTTTATATTTAGATATATAGAGGTTTATTATTAGTTGGATTAAAGATATGAATTTTACTTAGCAGATTATTTTATTGAAGAATTTTTAGAATAATTAAGAAAGAAAGCTTCATATTATTTTGGGGTTTTACTTCAAGGTAATATGGCAGTGTTACATCTTGGTCTCAAGGCGTGACAACAATAATGACACTTAATATTAGCAAATCTGTTGAACTTACTGTTGCTTCTATCTTTGGTTTTTTGGACTTTTCCTTTTACTACCTCTCTTTATTTTCTGTGACTAAGACCTCAAAACTATGAAGAGGAATCGTGTGACTTTCTTTTTATCTTTTCATTTAAAGCACCATTCTTAGCCAAATCCAAAATGATAACACTATTTGGGACAGATTTAGATAACATTATTTTAAACGTCTTCCACGAGTCTAACAATGTACCAAGAAGCTATAAGCCTTGTATACCAAAAAGCTATACAACTCCTCAAACTTCACCAAAGAGTGTGTGCATGTGTCTCTCCACTAACATGATTCAAAACATTATTATCTACCCACTATATAATGTAACCACAAACTTGTCCATGAAACAAATTTAATTTTACATCTATTTTATTTTCAAATTTTCAGTGGTAAACACAGATAAATAATACTTCTTCACATAAAGTAAGTCTTCCATCTTTCCATTTTCCATTTTCACACATGGTAATTTGAACCATTCAAATTAATCATTCTATTTATATTGGCTTTCATTATTCAACACAAGACATAAATCAAATAGCTTAAGCTTTGGTACTACTTTGATGGGATAAAATACCTCAAATAATATTCAAATCGAATATATCATGCAACAAAAAATCAAATCATCCATCTCTTGTGTGAATCTAATAGGAATCAAACAAATAGAGCTAACAAATTAATAAATCTCCAAACTACAAGCACAATGACACAAGTAATTTACATGAAAAACTTTTCAAAATAAGGGACAGTAACAAATAATTTCACTATCAAAATAATAAAATACAAAGTTTTTTCTAGTTAAAACTAAAGATATACAACTATAATATCTCAAGATTAAACAATCTTGATAAAGAAACAATCCTACAACAGAAAATTAGATAAATCTCAACAAATTTAGGGATTAACAAATACTAATGAAATCAGTAGGTAAAAAATTTGAAACTCGATCTCTACCGTTCAAACTTAAAAACAATGAGTCATAACACATGAAAAATTTTAGCTTAATTGCATCACAAATTTACTTTAATCAAATTACTTGATTGAAACTATACAAAACCCCTTTTTTCTCTTTTTCTTTTTCTATTGTTGTCTCATCTCTTTTGTTTCTTTTCTAGTCACATAAACAATATATAAGGTTTAAAACTTTATAACCAAACATAAAAAGATTAAAAAAATTTTTATAAATGGATTTTAGTTTTAGACCATCGAGGAAACCAAGTCCAACAATATATGCATGGTTTTGTTTAAGGGAAAAAAAATGCTGTTGAATATTGGTTATGAGGACCCTTGAATTTTCTTTTTAATTTGTGAATTAATGAAAATCCTTTTTTTTTAATGGACTGATATTCCTTTTCTGCAGAGCTCTTTTTTCAATTTTTTTCTTTTGGGGAAACGATGAAAAGGAATTGAGTTTTTCTACCTTGGATTGGATAACATTTGATGCCTTTGATCTCAATGACCATAATCAGGAATGCATTTAAGAAGAGACATATGGAAAGCTCCATAGTTTGAGTTTCTTGGTTTCACTAAAATATGAATAAAAGAAAAACAGGAAACCTAATATATTTTAATGGAAAAATTACATAAGGTTTTTGCTCTTCCAAATTCCTTTTACTAATAATAAAATCAATATGACGATCATCAGTTTAAGACATTTTTTTCTTTTTTTGGAGGGGGGCATAGCTGAAAACTGTTTAAGTAAGGATGCTGAATGAAACCAAGAAATAGGGCGAAGACCAACGGGAGATTAGCATTTTGGATAATTTCCTCCTTAGAAGCCTTGAAGCCTCACACTGTCCACAGGATCTAACATTAGTGGTTTTTAATTTTTTTCTCTTTTACAGAAATAGAAATGGTTTTTATTAATAAACAAGATTAATAATTCGATTAGTGTGTTTATAAACATTAATTAAAGATTATTAAAATATTATTTTTACCTTTTTTATGTAATTAATGTACTATTCTCAAGCAAGTTTTACCAGGTAATTAAAATGGATTTTATTAGTTTCCTTTGATAGATGTAAAAAATCAATAGCTTCCAAATCCATGTGATTGAATTTTTCGCCGGAATAAGATTAATAATTTTTGGATACCTATAAATATATATTGGGAGAGTTTTTTTTTTTTTCTTTATATTAGTCAAGAATTAATGTGTCAAAATTAAGACGCGGAGTTTGACTTTAAGACCTGGGGGATTTTTCTCGATCTTCGGAAAACTGTAAGAAGTGGAGTTAGGTACTGTCCAATACATTTAATTGCTTTTTAGCAAGAGTGGATCTTGTGTGAGAAGTGGAGTCCTGTCGTCCAATTCTTCAACTTTGACTTGGCCCTCTAGATTTAAGTAATTGCTTGGATAGGAAAATCGACAGTGGAGTGGAAGACCAGGTGAGTAAGTACTTTTCCAAGTCGTTCTTTCTTGTCTCTTACGTTAGAAAATGGGTCTTAGAATTCAACTTTTCTTGTTTTGATAGTGGGAATTCAACTTTTCTAGGAGAAAAAAAAAACATTCTTCAATCATAGTAAAAAATGGTGGCGTTTAAGACTTTTTTCCAATCTTGAGGTCTCCAAATTGCAGATAGATATGCTATAAAAATTGATACTGAAATATTGTTTGGAACCTAAAATTGTTAATGATGAAGAGAACAGCGTTGTTTCTTTCCGTGCTCCTGTTTGTTATACATTGTTCTTTATATAATGTTGCGTGTGATTCTACTGCAGAAGCACATGCACTCCTCAAATGGAAAGCCAGCCTTCAATCCCAGCAAAACCGTTCTGATCTTTTGCTGTCATGGACTGTCTCTCCTGTAAATGCAACAGCAAGTCCATGCGGTTGGTTTGGAATCCATTGCAACGGGAACAGCATTATAAGAATCAACCTTACGAGCTATGGAGTAAAAGGTACACTTCTTACATTTCCATTCTCATCTTTGCCCAATCTTGAAGAAATAGACCTTAGCATCAATGGCCTTGTTGGCACAATCCCACCTCAAATCAACCTACTCTCGAAACTCACCTACCTTGATTTGTCATTCAATGAGTTTTCTGGAAAAATCCCACATGAAATTGGTCAGCTCAGGCATCTCAAGACCCTTCACCTTGTTCAGAACCAGTTGAATGGTTCCATTCCTGAAGAAATAGGCCAGCTAATGTCTCTCTATGAGCTTGCCTTGCAAAACAACAATCTAAATGGTTCCATTCCTGCTTCTTTGGGTAACCTGGCCAAACTGACCTACTTATATGTCTATAATAATTCCCTTTCTGGTCACATTCCTTTAGGAATGGGCAATCTTAGCAGTTTGGAGGAACTTTACATGGACACGAACCATCTTGAAGGTCCCATCCCCTCAACTTTTGGAAACTTAAAAAACTTAAGATTGCTATATTTGTGCAACAACAATCTTTGGGGATCAATCCCTTCTGAATTGGGGCATATGGAATCGCTCACCGTGTTAGTACTTTTTAGAAATGGTCTATCCGGTGTGATCCCAGCCTCATTGGGAAACTTGACAGGTATGACAATTCTCCAACTTTATGAAAATAAACTTTCTGGCTCCATTCCTGAGGAGTTAGGAAACTTGAAATCTGTTGTCTTTCTAGAGTTGAGTCAAAACCAACTAAGCGGTTTTATTCCAGCTTCATTTGGTAACTTGAGTAACTTGGAAACTTTGTTCCTCCGAGACAACCAACTTTCAGGTCCCATACCTCAAGAAATAGGAAATTTCATGAATTTGTGGATGTTGGAACTTGATCAAAACCAATTCATTGGGAATTTGCCTCAAAACGTTTGTAGAGGAGGATCACTGGAATACTTCATAGCAAATGACAACCATTTCATAGGTCCAATCCCTAAATACTTGAAAAATTGCAGCAGCTTAAAAAGAGTACGCCTGGAAAGGAATCGACTGACTGGAAATATATCAGAAGATTTTGGCGTCTATCCTAGCTTGAATTTTATAAACCTAAGTGACAATGAATTTTATGGTGAAATTTCACCTAACTGGGCATTGTGCAAAAATTTAGGCAGCCTATTGATTGCTAGGAACAATATCACTGGCAGAATACCACCTGAGATTGGAAACTCAACTCAGGTACATGTTCTAGATCTTTCTTTAAATCATTTAGTCGGGGAGATTCCAAAGGAATTAACAAAACTGACTCTTTTAACTAGGCTTATTTTGACTGGGAATCAACTCTCTGGTGGAATACCAAGGGAAGTAGGATTGTTTTCCAATCTTGAGTATCTCGACTTATCTGCAAACAGTTTGAGTCAGTCCATCCCCGAGAGCATAGGGGATTTGTTGAAATTGCACTACTTGAATTTGAGTAGTAACAACTTCAGCCAGAGAATTCCAGATCAGATGGGCAAGTTATCTCAATTGAATGAATTAGACCTGAGTCACAACATGCTTTCAGGGGAGATACCAAGACAATTTGAATCTCTGCAGAGCTTGTCAACGTTGAATCTCTCTTATAATAACCTCTCTGGTAACATTACCATTTTCGATAAACTACGAGGCTTGACATATATTGACATAGCACATAATGGGTTGCAGGGTCCGATTCCTAATACCCCGGCATTTCAAAATGCTTCAATACAAGCATTAGAAGGAAACAAGGGTTTGTGTGGCAATGTTAGTGGGTTAAAACCTTGCAAGCTTTCTAAGAAAAGCCACACGTTACTCTACACAATCATGTTTCCTCTGTTAGGAGTGACTGGCCTTTCACTTGCTGCAATGGCTTTGTTCTTCGGCTTCAAAAGGCGGGCAAAAGATGCAAATGAAGTAATTCAAAGCAGTATGAATTATGAAAACCTCTTTGCAATATCGTCCTTTGATGGAAAATTCCTGTATTCTGAGATCATAAGTGCAACCAACAACTTTGATGCTCAGTGTTGCATTGGAAAGGGAGGCTACGGAAGTGTATACAGGGTAGAGCTGTCATCAGGTGATATTGTCGCTGTGAAGAAAGTCCATCCACTGCGTGCTGATGAAGTTAGGGCTGCAAAAGAATTCCAAAACGAAGTAACGACGTTACTAGACATAGGACACCGAAATATTGTGAAGTTCTATGGGTTTTGTTGGTCTACAGAACAATCATTCTTGGTTTACAAATTCCTTGAAAGGGGTAGCTTGGCTACAAATCTAAGCAACGATGAAGCAGCAAAACAATTGGACTGGGAAAAAAGGGTAAATATTATAAAAGGTGTTGCTCATGCCCTGTCTTACTTGCACCATGTTTGCTCACCACCGATTGTTCATCGGAACATATCAAGCAACAATGTTTTGCTTGATTTGGAATTTGAAGCTCACATTTCAGATTTTGGCACGGCTAAGCTTCTCAATCCAAACTCATCTAATTGGACCAATCTTGCTGGAACATATGGATACGTCGCACCAGGTGATGTAGTTCATAGCAGTAATCTATTGTTGCATGAAAGGCTGAGCATCATTCTATAATTGACTATTTATCTTTTCCTTTGCAGAGCTTGCCTACACAATGAAGGTTACGGAAAAATGTGATATTTATAGTTTTGGAGTGTTGGCTCTGGAAGTTATCTTTGGGGCACATCCCGGTGATTTAATCTCTGTGCTACCATCTTCATCTCTCGAAATGCGGCTTCTGGTGAACGATGTCTTGGATCAAAGGCTTTTACCTCCAGCAACAGAAGTTCAAGACAAAGTAATAGCTGTGATGAAGATAGCTTTTATGTGCTTGGCTGTCAATCCACATTCTAGACCGACCATGTACACTGTTTCTCAGCTGTTATCCAACTGAATCTTCTCCTTCCAAGGATCATTACATTGATCCAAAGAAAGCAGGGATCCTGCTGCAAATCACAAGGATTATAGATTACAATAAATAAGACAGTAACTCCTACTCAGTTTCTCTTACTATCTTAGTTTTCTTAATAATTTATTTCTGTACTCTCACCTGAAGATTAGCATTTATGTTCTCTGAATTTCCTTTTATTGATATAGTTGTGTGTATGTTTTGGGCATTGCAATAAGAATGGTTGCAGATCTTTCTGATTGTTATTAATTCTTGTATTGTAAAATGCAGGGCATTTTTACAAATACCTAAAATCCTTCGAGATCTTTGATGGTAATATTATATAATTCCAATATCGAAATCTGTTACACAAACTTATTGAGTTGTGCAGATTAAAAACTTAAACTAATGATTTGTTTCTTGTACCAAAATAATTGACTGGTTTAGAGTTTAGATATAAATTTTCATCTGTAATAGGTGAATGGATTCATGTGATTCATGTCAACTGCTAATGATAAATGTGATAAAAGCTACTAGAGAATAAACAGATTAATTGGGTAGAGAGCGTCTGCCCAGTCTTTGAGTGAGGTAAGAAGTAGAGAAAAGAGAGAGTATAAGGAGAGAAATATTGTATTCTGTTGAATGAAATTCCAGAATACTTAAAATCGTTGCATATCCCCTGCATATCCATAACAGGCAATGACCAAGCATCGCATAACTAATCCATCATTACTGATCACAGGCAGCAACTAATCCGGCATTATCGTTTAACAACTTCAACTGATATTTAAAATACTACCCTATAATTCTGGGCTCCCCTATTATTGGGCTCAAGTATTTCATTAGCCCATTTTCATATACTCTGGCCCGTAGCAAAATGGAGCTGTGGGCATACAAAGACTTGGATGTGGATGAATCTTACATGATCAGTTTTCCGTATTGAAGCCTAAAATCTCCTTGTAAGTTTCAGCAATCCAGATTTTGTTTGTTTTAGGGTCATAGATGAATCTTGGAAATAAAACATGGTTCTCGGAGGTAATAGATTTTGTTTCACTTCTACACTGGTTTCATTTTTCCACATCTTTTATTTCAAGTCTCATAAGACATTTTAAAGTCTGCAACTATGCTTGTTTTAATGTACATATTTACAGACAGGTTGCTCTGAATTGCAATTGCTTTGGACCCAAAACAGAGAGAGAAACGCTTCTAGCCCGTATGAAAATCTAAATCAAAAGACTCGTAAAAAAAGGGGAAAGAAAAAGGAAGTGTATCATACGTTAAAGTCTAACAGGGGCAATGACCATGAACAACCAGTTGACTGTTTGACTTTCCAGTTCCTAACGTAAATGCAACTTCCGGAGTCGACCCTAGAGTGAAAAATAGGTTAGAGACTTCTTCCGGTGAGTTTCGACGTACTGGAAACTGCAATTAACGTATATATAAACATCAGACCAAGGTTGTTATTTGCATGCACACCATTTGTTAAACATGGAGAGGGTAACCTTGTTTGCTTTTCTACTCTTATATGTTACATTACAATATTATTCACTTAATGTTGCTTCTGATTCTGCCGCAGAAGCACAGGCACTACTCAAATGGAAAGCCAGCTTTCAAAACCAAGACCATCCTGTTTTGCTTTCTTGGAATATTTCCAATTCTGCACCCAATACTTCCACCAACCTAAAAACAAAAACAAGTCCATGTGCTTGGTTTGGAATCAATTGCAACAATGCTGACAGCATTATGAGGATCAACCTCACTGGCTATGGTGTAAAAGGTACGCTCCATACATTTCCATTCTCATCTTTGCCTAATCTTGCACAGTTAGACCTTAGCACCAATGAACTCTATGGCATAATCCCACCTCAAATCGGTCAACTCTCCAAACTCACTTACCTTGATTTATCAACCAATCAGTTGTCCGGGCAAATCCCACCTGAAATTGGCCACCTTATACACCTCGAGACCCTCCACCTTGCTGAAAATCAGTTGAACGGCTCAATTCCTCGAGAAATTGGTCTGCTGAAATCTGTTACGGAGCTTGCCTTGTACAGCAACAATCTAAATGGTTCCATTCCTGCTTCTCTTGGTGACTTAAGCCAACTGGTTTCCTTATATCTCTATAATAATTCCCTTTCTGGTCCCATTCCTCCAGAAATGGGAAACATGGCCAATTTGTTTGAAGTTTACATGGACACAAACCATCTGACCGGTCCCATCCCTTCCACGTTTGGAAACTTGAAAAAGTTAACTGTGCTTTACATGTTTAGCAATCATCTTTCTGGATCCATTCCTTCTGAATTAGGGCATATGAAATCTCTCACTGAAATAGGCCTTTATCAAAATAATCTATCTGGTTTGATCCCGACCTCATTAGGTGACTTGACACTTCTTACACGTCTCCAACTTTATGAAAATAATCTTTCTGGCCCCATTCCTGAGGAGATAGGAAACTTGAAATCTCTTGTTTATCTAGAGTTGAGTCAAAATCAACTCAATGGTTCTATTCCTGCTTCACTTGTTAATTTGAGCAACTTGGAAACTTTGTTCCTTCGAGACAACCAACTTTCAGGTCCCATACCTCAAGAAATAGGAAATTTCATGAAGCTGACCATGTTAGAATTAGACCACAACCATCTGACTGGAAATTTGCCCCAAATCATTTGCCGTGGTGGATCACTTAGATACTTCACAGCAAATGACAACCATCTTACGGGGCCAATCCCTAAAGGGTTGAAAAATTGCACGAGCTTGCATAGAGTCTACCTTGAAGGAAACCGACTCACTGGGAATATATCTGAAGGCTTTGGCGTTTATCCGAGCCTAAACTTCATTGACTTAAGTGACAATGAATTTTATGGTGAAGTGTCATCTAATTGGGGGATGTGCAAAAGTTTACAGGGCCTATCTATTGCGAGGAACAATATCACTGGTAGAATACCACCAGAGATTGGAAACTCAAGCCAGATTAAACTCCTCGATCTTTCTTCAAATCATTTAGTAGGGGAAATTCCAATGGAAATTGCAAAGTTGACTTCTTTGATTAAGCTTCATTTGAACGGGAATCAACTTTCTGGTGGTATACCATTGGAACTGGGACTTTTATCTAGCCTTTTGGTTCTTGACTTGTCTGCGAACCAGTTGAGCAAGTCGATCCCTGAAACTATAGGGAATCCGTCCAACCTATACTACTTGAATTTGAGCTTCAATCAGTTTAGCCAAAGAATTCCAATTCAAATAGGCAAGTTAACTCATCTGACTTTGCTAGATTTGAGTCACAACATGCTTTCAGGGACGATTCCAGTGGAATTTCAGAAGTTGCAGAGCCTGTTGATGTTAAATCTTTCTTACAACGATCTGTCTGGTGAAATTCCAGCCTCTTTTGAGCAGCTCCGAGGCTTGTCCTCCGTTGACATATCATACAATGAGTTGCAGGGTTCCATTCCCAACTGCCAAGCATTTCAAAATGCTTCAATAGAAGCATTACGAGGGAACAAAGGTTTGTGTGGCAATGTTAGCGGATTGCCACCCTGCACACCTTTTTCTAGGAAGGGCCACAACGCCAAGATCATCTTTGCAATTATATTCCCTCTATTGGCAGTTGCTTCTCTCCCGATCTCATCAATTGCTTTGTTGTTCATCTTCAAAAAAAGGAAGAAAGATGCGGACGAAGAAAGACAAAGCAGTGTGAATGACGAAATTTTTTTGTCAACACCTTCCTTCAATGGAAGAATACTATATGAAGAGATCATTAGAGCTACCAAAGATTTCGATGCTCAATATTGTATTGGAAATGGAGGATATGGAAATGTATACAAAGCGGAGCTGTCATCAGGTGATATTGTAGCTGTGAAGAAATTGCGTCCATTGCATAGTGGTGAAACGGCAGATCAAAAGCAATTCCTGAATGAGGTAAGGGCATTGATAGAAACACGACATCGAAATATTGTGAAGTTCTATGGTTTTTGTTCATTTGCAAAACGCTCCTTCTTGGTTTACAAGTACCTTGAAAGGGGTAGTTTGGCTTCTGTTCTAAGCAACGATGAAGAAGCTAAGAAATTGGACTGGAATAAGAGGGTGAACATCGTAAAAGGTGTTGTTCACGCCCTCTCTTATTTGCACCATGACTGTTCACCACCGATTGTTCATCGAGACATAAAGAGCAGCAACATTTTGCTTGATTTAGAGTTTGGAGCTCATGTTTCAGACTTTGGCACTGCGAAGCTTCTCAATCCAGACTCATCCAATTGGACTCATATTGCTGGAACATACGGATATATAGCACCAGGTGATTTCACTGTAGCACCATAATTGACACAACTTATAGCTTGATGTTTGTTGTTCTTAACTATTTTTTTTTTCCTTTGCAGAGCTTTCCTACACAATGAAAGTTACTGAAAAATGCGATGTGTATAGTTTCGGTGTGCTGGCATTGGAAGTGATAGTGGGGGCATATCCGAGTGATTTTCTCTCTAATCTATCAGTTCTATCTCCTGAACTGCAGCTTCCGCTAAACAATGTGCTGGATCAAAGGCTTTCACCTCCACCGCCCGAAGTTGAGAACAAACTCGCATTCATCCTGAAGCTGGCTGTTTCATGTTTGGATAACAATCCAAAATGTAGGCCAACCATGTACACGGTTTCTCAGCTGTTGTTTGACCGAATCTAGTCCTAGCTAGGATAATTTTATCTATATCTAAGGGGCTACCTTAGAAATGTTTTGTATTGCTTTAATGTTGTTTCTTCAGTTTTTGTGTTCTATCATAGGTAAAAGGATTAGCATTTTTGTACCGTTAACAATTAGTTTTTGTTGAGAATTGAGATTGTCATAAACACCATGGTAGTGCAATGAGGGTAGTTTCAGATATTTGCTTGTAACTATGTTTTATTAATTTAATTCTAGTAATTGCGTAAGAATAAAATAATTCCACCAAGCCCTTATTAATTGAGATATCTTATTTATATGCAAAGGATTCTTATTAATTTTAGAAATAATCTTTTATAATATCATAATTGTATTATAATCTTAAATATTATTGTAATTACAAAATCATAATTTTTAATATTACATTAGATTATATCATTGCATAATATTACAAAATATTAAATTAACAAATTTGAAGTAAACCTGCTCATTGATCGAACGATTTATCTGAACCAAAAATCCACCTAAATTTTGAAGGATTTGAATATGAATATTAAGCCTATTAAGTGAACCTGAACAAATAAGTAAGACTCGATCTTAAAATAAGGCCGAGCTTGAGTATTTCCATTTAAGGCCTGATCCAATTGGGCTTAATTCGAAAATTAAAAAATATTTTTATTATAATGGGCCAAGCCTCATTTACTTTATTTTTTTATAATGGATAAAGTATATTTGTTTTATTATTTAGAATAGGATAAAGCTCATTTTTTCTTTACACAATACAATGATTTTAATTTTAAATTACAATTAACTAAATTAAATTGGATGCAAGCTTAACTAACTCATAAATTTAATTAAAATTAATTAAATTATTAAATTAATAATTTATAAAAAAAAAACTCTTTTTCTCACTTTTAAATATCAATATTTTGAGTAAATTTAGGTTTTATTATTACATATAAAAATTTTGGTTAAAAATGAGATCTGAAAAATTGAGTTAGACCGGGCTAAGCTTGCTTAAAATGATGGGCCTAACCCAAACTGGCTTGATCCGACTTGACTCATGACCAACTCTAGTTTGAAGTTTCTATTTTTGCAAGAATGCATTCTATTTATATAAAAATTGTTCTGGTAGTATAGGAACACATTTTAATGAATTTAATGAGATGATTAAGCTAGATTCAGTTAAAAAGAAAGAACACCTGAGGTAGTTGTTTTCCTATCATGTCAGTCTTTAAAATCTAACAGGCACAAAATATAGAACATAAGCAAGAGATAGAAAGGCAATGGTTACTATGAAGTGATAAGTGAAATTGGGCATATTATATTATCCTATGAACTTTGTTTAGAAAATGATTAATATAAATGTAAATTTTACATTTTATTAAAAATGTCAAACCCATTTAAAAAATTTTATTTGATACATGTTTTATGTTGTTTTTAAATTTCACTACCCAAAATGAAAAATTATTATACTCGTACGTTTAAAAATTAATAAATTATATTCATCAAAAAAATTAATAAAATTATTAATATAATAAGAAGTAAGATCTTTGATCCCATTCATAAAATTTAAAAATTTTAGAACGATTTATGATTAAATATTTAATTAACAAAATTAGTTTATATACACTAACAATAAAATTTTAGAAATAGCAGCAGCATGATTATCAAACACATTGTAATTCCCAGCAATTTATTAATGGGACCCACATGGGTCCCAATTATTGGTCAGTTTTGACCTTCCTTAACAGTCGACGATGCACACTGGCAGGTAGCAACGTAGCATTGTTTGAGAATATTGACGTGGCAAAAAAGGCAATAGACGGCGCATATCCAGACAGCTACTAACGTTGTCCTTAAATTGCTGCCAGCTTCTCGTTTTTGATTGCAAGCAGAAATAAGAAAAAAAAAAATGGCTACTCTTAGGGTGGCCGCAAAAGTTCCATCTGTATCTGAAGATTGCGAACAACTAAGAAAAGCCTTTTCAGGTCTCTTCTTTTTCGATCTATATCATTTTCTTCTATCTCCTATATAGTCAATGTTCTTTTATATTGATCTAACTCTATTGATTTGGATTTTCTCATCGGATCAAACTTCCCGCTGTGATCTATAGTGATTAACCTTTTCTGGGTTGATTTTGAAATTGAAAGTGGTTATCATTATTATACCCAAAAGCCTTTTTTTGGGGTTGATCTTGGGAAGATCTGCCAAGGTCTATGAAGATTGTGTTGAAAACGACGGTGATCATCAAATGATAATAACCTCATATTGGTTAAACGAGTTGCTTGATCGTTGAAGACTGATGATCTGTTTTTGTTTATACTGTGGCTTATTAGTTGATCTATTTGTTCTGTTTTACCCTGTATTAGTCTTTTGATGTGCAAAAATAGACAAATGCATGGTGTTTGTGTGGAGCTGACCTTTTAGAGGTAAAACCCTGAAAATGGAAGTAAGAGCAGTTAAAGACAAAGGTTGAAAATATTCTTTAACATTTATATTTTGACGCTTAATTAGATATCAATAAAAAAAAATAGAAAGGAAACTATAAGTATGAGAACGAAAAATGGATCAAATGATACGTGAAAGGTATTATTTATATTTGTAAAGTAAGGTCTTTGGACATGTTAGGTTGTCTAAGGTCAGCCCTAGGTTCAAAGATGACTTGATAGGCTAAGTTGAGTTGGATGTTGATTATTCAATTATGAAATAACAAGTTAATATTTAGGAGTGTTTAATGAATGGCTGATAAGATGGTCGAGCTAATTTAGTTTCGTAAATTCAGGTCAATCTGATAAATTGATTCGATTTAAAATTCAAAATTATATTTGATTGTCTGTTGATTATTTTTAATAAAAAAAATAATTTTACCTTTTAAATTTAAAAATGCTCGTAACACTTAATTTGCTATAAATTCTTGAGCATAAGTTTTAGAAATTTTATAGTAGCCAAAAAGGGTTTCTTTTACAGTTTTTCATTATAAATTTTTTTTTTTTATAATTTAACTATCATTCAATTCGCTCTAAATTTTTTTGAGTACATAATAGGTTTTATCATTCTTAATAAAAAATTAGACTTAGTTCTATTATCCTCTATTTAGGAAATTTTTTGTGGCAAAGAAGTATCCGTAAAAGTTGGTTTTAGGTAATTGCTCGACCCACCAAAAAGATTTTTGCAGATTTTCCGAGCTCACCACCCAGTCAATTCCGTTCCACTTAATCCCCTATTTCATGGCCACATATCTTTCCGGCTAAGTAATGGGAAACCTTTCTCCTCTTACATGAATACAATTTTCATTTCATCCGGGAAAATCCATCTTTTTCTAAACAAATGTCTTTTTGAAAAACTTAAGATTGCTATATTCGGGCAACAACAATCTTTGGGGATCAATCCCTTCTGAATTGGGGCAAATGGAATCGCTCACCGAAATAGTACTTTATAGAAATAATCTATCTGGTGTGATCCCAGCCTCATTGAGAAACTTGACAGGTCTGACAATTCTCCAACTCTATGAAAATAAACTGTCTGACAATTCTCCAGCTCTATGAAAATAAACTTTCTGGCTCCATTCCTGAAGAGTTAGGAAACTTGAAACCTTTTGTCTTTCTAGAGTTGAGTCAAAACCAACTAAGCGGTTTTATTCCAGCTTCATTTGGTAACTTAAGCAACTTGAAAACTTTGTTCCTCTGAGACAACCAACTTTCAGGTCCCATACCTGGAGAAATAAGAAATTTCATGAATTTGTGGATGTTTGAACTTGATCAAAACCAATTCATCTGGAATACTTCATAGCAAATGACAACCATTTCATAGGTCCAACCCCTAAAGACATGAAAAATTGCAGCAGCTTAAAAAGAATACGCCTGGAAAAGAATCGACTGACTGGAAATATATCAGAAGATTTTGGCATCTATCCTAGCTTGAATTTTATAAACCTAAGTGACAATGAATTTTATGGTGAAATTTCACCCACCTGGGCATTATGCAAAAATTTAGGCAGCCTATTGACTGCTAGGAACAATATCACTGGCAGAATACCACCTGAGATTGGAAACTCAACTCAGGTACATTTTCTAGATCTTTCTTTAAATCATTTAATCGGGGAGATTCCGAAGGGATTGACAAAACCGACTCTTTTAACTAGGCTTATTTTGACTGGGAATCAACTCTCTGGTGGAATACCAAGGGAAGTAGGATTGTTTTCCAATCTTGAGTATCTAGACTTGTCTGCAAACAGATTGAGTCAGTCTATCCCTGAGAGTATAGGTGATTTGTTGAAATTGCACTACTTGAATTTGAGTAGTAACAACTTCAGCCAGAGAATTCCAGTTCAGATGGGCAAGTTATCTCAATTGACTGAATTAGACCTAAGTCATAACATGCTTTCAGGGGAGATACCAAGACAATTTGAATCTCTGCAGAGCTTGTCAACGTTGAATCTCTCTTATAATAACCTCTCTGGTAACATTACCTTTTTCGATAAACTCCGAGGCTTGACATATATTGACATAGCACATAATGGGTTGCAAGGTCCAATTCTTAATACCTCGGTATTTCAAAATGCTTCAATACAAGCATTAGAAGGAAACAAGGGTTTGCGTGGCAATGTTAGTGGCTTCAAACCTTGCAAGCTTTCTAAGAAAAGCCACAAGTTACTCTACACAATCATGTTTCCTCTGTTAGGAGGAGTGAATGGCCTTTCACTTGCTGCAATGGCTTTGTTCATCGGCTTCAAAAGGCAGAAAAAGATGCAAATGAAGTAAGTCAAAGCAGTATGAATAATGAAAACCTCTTTTTAATATCGTCCTTTGATGGAAGATTACTGTATTCTGAGAACATATATAAGTGCAACCAACAGCTTTGATGCTCAGTGTTGCATTGGAAAGGGAGGATACGGAAGTGTATACAGGGTAGAGCTGTCATCAGGTGCTTTGGTCTCTGTGTTACCATCTTCATCTCTTGAAATTCAGCTTCTGGTGAACAATCTATCGTAATCTATCACGTCCCCCAAACTCGAATAGGACATAACAATACCGCATATTCATGAAACGAATCTTATAAGCAAGCAAGACAACAGATATTATAATAATCAAATTCCAAAATATCATACTAATTCAAAAGCAAACTCCAAAGGGTATTTAAAATTTATAATTTAAAAACCCAAGTGTCTGAAATTCACGTGTTACTCTTGATCAAAAAATACAATAATATTCTGATTTTATTACATCAAGGTACTTAAATTACAAGCTATATAATGACAAATGATAGATGAAGTCTTGCAACATAATCTCTTATTAAAACTCAGCCCTAAAGACATAAATATCGAAATATGAAAAGTAAGAAAAATTAAAAGAATGAGTATGACGATTCAACAAGTAACCGATAGAAGTATATCAGAAGCAACTAGATCGTTGTGTCACTGACCGAAACTTAACCTCCAGGCTCGTGCGGCTCTGGGACCCAGGTATGGACTTATTCAACGTCCTAGATTAGTCTAACTGTCACGATTCATACTCTTATAAGGTATTATCCGCTTTGGCCTCTTTTTGGCCTCACAGTTTTGTCCTACAAAAGGTGCCTCACAAGGAGAAAGTGGTGTGAACCCTTATATTTCATGATAAACTCTAGTACATAGTCGATGTGGGATTCTTGGCTCCTTTCTAGGATCGTGACATCTTCCTCCACTCCAATGAGGGCTCACTATCCTCGATGGCACATCTTTAATACCCTCAGAGCTGGTTCTGATACCATTTGTCACAGATCAAAACTCAACCTCCAAGATCATGTGGCTCTACGACCCAAGCATGGACTTATCTGGCATCCTAGATCAGCTTAACTGTCATGATTCACACTCTCGTGAGGTATTATCTACTTTGGCCCCCCATTGGCCTCACGATTTTGTCCTACAAAAGATGTCTTACAAGGAGATGGTGGTGTGAACCTTTATATCCTATGACCAACTCTAGTACACAATCGATGTGCAATTCCTAGCTCCTCTTTAAGATCGTGATAGTTGCACTAATAATCATAATTAACTCATTAGTGTAATGTGACAAAAAAAAATTACAGTAAACCCTTTAGTGCAATAGGATAGAAGTATATCATCGATGGCACGGTGAATAAAAATCACTATTCTTAACTGGTGACATGATTCAAAATTGGTATCGACATCATAAAGTATATGTCGACATGATCAACAATTAACACCCATTGGTAGGGTTAGAATATAGTCATATTAAGAGACAAAAACCAAAATATATTTTTAGATTACCCAACATATACAAATTCAATATTTATAAATTTTCTCAAAACATAATCCATACAAAGTGAATTACATAATCATTTCAAAGCAATATTTCATATTCTGACAAACAATGGATATATAAATATATTATTAAGAAATGATATTCAAAAATCAAAATAATATCAAACCATATTTCAAACTCATAACAAAGAAATCATATATATATTTTGCATATTCAACTCGATTTACAAAACAAATGGACAAAATAATATATATATTATATATTGTCGTAACGGTTTTTGGATCGCCAAACATAAAGGAGTTTTAAAATCAAGAAAAATGGGGAAGAGTTGCCACCAATTTTTTTAAGGTGTGATTGATCACCCAAAAGTTTATCTTTTTAACAAAACTATAAAAGCAAGTTTAAAGTTTATCAAAAGGATAAATTTCGGTCTATGAAATCCAGGTTGGGTCTGAGAGTCGGTTACATGTGGGGAAGGATTAGCACTTCACAATGCCCATAAATTGGTACCAATTAATTATGCGTTATTTTCGATATTGGTTGAAATAGTTTTGAATTTGAAATTTAATAATAATCCCTTTCGTTTGAAAAATAAAATTTTGCTAAAGCTCTTTATTTAGGAATATTGAGAAAATCTTTAAGTTAAAGAATTATCTTTAAATTCTCTAACATCTAGGCAGAATTTAAACTCTTTTCACTTAAGATTTAACACAACAATCCTTAAAATGAAATAACACTCTTTATAAAAGATAATTGTTGGTAACTCTCAACATCTAGGCAAAGTACCAAGAATTATTTCCTTTGAAATGTTATTTTTATTTTATTTTATAATATCACAAATAAAATGTATTGTCCATTTTTTCATCATAAAACATTTTATCATCAAGTAGTAAATAAAAATTAAAGACAAAAAATGCAAACAATTACCAATGATAATACGCTAACATATGTATGCCAATGAATGTTATGGAAGATGAAATGCAATTTTATGGTTGGGCTTTTAAATATAATGAGACCATCCTGACTCTTCAACAACTAGGTAGAGCTTAGGTGTGACTGTTTGTATTTAAAATCCTATTTTATTATTATACTTTTTTATTTATTAATCCCATTGTTAATGTGAAATAGGGATTCGTATGAAAAACTTAATGAAATAAAGTTTCCTAAATACCCCATCATCTAGGCGGCATTCAAGAACAAATCATTTCATGTGAGATTTTTACACGTATCCCTAAAGTTTCGAAATAGATTTAGGTCGAGGTTTTAAGACTTGCATGATTTTTAGAGAATGATTAGGGGGTGTATGCTAAATTTGGGGTTCAAACTCTTAGGGCTTGGGATTTTGGATTTTAGTGTTTTGGATTTTAGAGCTTGGATGTTTGGGGTTTTGATTTTAGGGTTTGGAGATTTGGGATTTTGATTTTAGGATTTAGAGGGTTTAGGGTTTAATTTTTAGGGTTTGAAAGGTTTAGGGATTAGATTTTAGGGTTTTAATTTTAGGGTTTTGAAATTTAGGGTTTGGATTTTAAGGCTAAAGAAAATGCAAACATCTTTAAAAATCCTTAACATTTAGGCGAACTTTCGGAGCAAGTTCGATTTTTATGATTTTCAAGAAAATAAATTTTTATTATGAAAAGTTAATATTAATTTACATAGTTTAAAAAAAAAATTTTAAAATAATTTCTCAATATCTAGACAGAATTATCATTATTTAAAACATGATTGTATTCCTTCCAACATCTAAGTAGGGAAAAGTTTTTTTTATTTTTTATTTATTATTCTATCATTTTATGCATATTTTATTATTTTTTATTTAATATTTGGATTATTAAAAAAACATTAAAAGGAATTAAAAGTTTTAAAAATCATTTGACTTTTTATTATTGTTGTTGTCATTTAATTATTATTATTGTTAATTATTATTATAAAATAAAAAGTATTTATTTTAATAAACTTTAAAAGTTTTAAAGCATGCATAAATAACAATAATAATAATGTTAAAAATGATATAAATAAATAATATATAAAAATAAAAATAATGAAAAAATTTTGAAATTTTTTTTTTATTTGAATCGGACCGGTCAACGATTCGATCAATGCTGGTTCGGTTGGATCAAAAAAAGGATGGTTCGACGAGTGGTTCGATTGAACCGGTTGAGTAGCGGTTTGACGCACGGTTAAGTTGAACCGGTTCAAGGTTAGTTGAAGCAGTGGGTCAGCGGGCTAATTGCGCGGATCTCGGGTCAGGTTACGGGCATGAGCGGATCCTCCCTATGCCCAAAACGGCATCGATTTTCTTTTTTGTTTTTCTATATAAAGTTAGTTTTTTTTTTTTAGATCATTTGACCTTTCCTCCAAAAAACAAAAAGGTTACAACTTCAAAAAATCCTCTCAGGCTTTGCCAGAAATTGACACAGTGCCGTTGCACTGGCTGCCACCTAAGGTCACTGTCGGTGGTTACCGGTGGTCGTCGTCGTGAGCCAAAAATGTCAAAATTCACCAAAAGATTCCTTTCGACCTTCTGAGCTCAGATTTTCCATCCTTTTCACAAGAAATGGCTCCGATCGGTGTAAATTAGGGTTTGAAGTTCTTGAATTCTTTGCCCTTCTTTTTTTTTTTGAAAGCCCACACTAACTATCTTTTGGCGTTGATGGTTCTTTGCCTAAGTGGTGAGGACTATGTGATTTTTTTTGTTTCAAGTTTTTCTGGTTTTTATTATTATTTTTTTTACATTTTCTAGTGAGTGCAGTGTTTAGGTTTTTGGGTATGTGATAGTTTGAAGTTTCTAGGTGTGGGGGGAGCAGTGTTTGGAGTCTTTGGAGATGTGTTCAAGAGCTCCCTTGGGTGCGTGTAAGCTTATTGTTTAAAGGGCTGGGTGTCTGGGGAAACAGGGAGTGATGATGGAGCTACAGTGCTCTAGTGCGGGGACTGGACTGGGGGTGGCATGATGGCTATGGCAGGGGGTGTGGGCGGCCAGTAGTGCCGTGCACAGCACCCACGGCATTAGCCCCTACCTTTTTGTTTCTTCTTCTGTTTGGATTTTTCTATTTGTCTCTTCTCTTTTTTTTTTTTTATTTTTAAATTTTTTTAACTAATTAATTTTTTAATTTTAATTAAACCAATATTATTATTATTAATATTAAACAAGAATTGAAAATCGTAAACCGGAACAAAATTCAGTGTCTACATATATTTCAACTCTAAATATATTGAGACTGATTTTTAGGGATATAAAAACTGAAGGGATGTCAAATCACTTGATGTACTAAATTAAAACTTAAGTAGCGAATCACTTAATTCTCTTTATATCTTAATAATTCAAGAAATATTAAAAAGTTAAAATTTAACCTAAAAACATAAATTTAACAAGGCAAACCTTTCGCGGGCTATCCTAAGCAAATTGGATTATGTGGCAACCTTCATAACTAATTGAAACTATTTGAAAGTATTTTTAGCACATTAAAATAAATTTTATTTTGATATAACAAAGTGCCTTAAATTGAGTATAAATAAAAATTAAGGATTAAAAACATAAAAATCAATAGCAATATAAAATTTTACAACTATTTAATTTTTAACATTTAATAGTAATCATTTTTGTAAGTTTAAATCTAATTTAATAATCCTTTAACAATACTACTAATATAGAATTAACACAGTTAAAATATATTAAAATAGGTAAAAATTCATTAAAATAATATAACTAAAAT